TTAAGATTTTTGAAATGCTCATCAAAAGGTAGTCAGCTGGAGCTACTTTAAGCTTTATCCTACAGAAAGAGCTATGTGGCGAGTCCTATCTCAATTAGCAAAGTGAAGAACCTTCCATGGGGGACATTCGAGGTGGCTCCTTGTTTTGGAGTGGATACGACGGAAACGCCGTATGCGCACCTTTTTTCTTCTTCCTGGCGCAATTCTAGTTCTCTACTCTTGGTGGACGTTTTCGAGGTGATGTAATGATTGCGAAATCGAAGAATTGTCATCTTAATTCTACGTACCGTTCTCGTGCTTGAGTAATCAATTCAAGGAGGTGAATTTCGCGGTTATTAGCCGTTTCTGCTGCTTGTTGTATTGATCGTCGCATCAGAGTCGCAATAACAAGAAGGACATCTCCGGCCGAAGTTGTTTCCCGGGATCACTTCAGCTTATACCACCACGATTTCCTATGGCTTTTAGGTGCACGGTTAGAAGAATTTTGGTACTTTCATCGTAGAGGGCCATTTTCGAATAAGCAGTGCAGCATTTAGCTGGATTCCTGTCCATTTTTGGATGCATTCTGTTTTTTTCTTAACGCCGAGCATATGATATTTTCGAACTTGCGAGTGGTTTGGTGAAACTCGTAGTTGAATAAGTGTTGATTAATAACTTCAAAACATCACTCTAACTTGTTTTGAGAGTAATTTGCAAGTTGATATAAGTGGCAGGAACCAAGCATCGAGGAAGTAGGCATCGCTCTTTTTTCCTGTGCTGTATCGCAAACTCAATTTCACCAACTCATATTTCTGTATAAGATTTTTCCTCGTGCTAGTAGTTTTGAAAGATTTCCAAACTTGTCAGCAAAGAGTAGCTTGGCAGTAAGCGTGGTGTCAGAGTCCGCGATCCTTTGCGCGATTTTCGCGGATTTTGCGCGATTTGCGCGATTTGCGCGATTTTCGCGATTTTGCGCGACGGGTCACGGAAATTACAAGTGCCCCATCCATACTGCAAGGTGTTCTCCAATCCCGCCGTCACTTCTGCTTGATGGTTATGGTTTAATGGAGACTGCTCATGATTCCACTTGTTTCATATCCAGTGTTTCAATTGTTCAAATGGGGCACTTGCAATTTTTGTGATTGGTTTGTTTGATTCCTGAAAAAAAAATAGGAACGATTCAAGAGCATTTCAATGAACTAATAGACATTGAACATGAAACAAGTAGAACCACAAACATTCGTCTTCCAATCTTTACTGCCAAGCAGAATTCGCAGCAGGATTAAACAACACCTCGCAGTATTCATCGGGCACTTCCAACTCCTGTGATCCATCGCAGGTTTCGCGAAAATCGCGCAAAGGATCGCGGACTCTGACACCAGCCTAAAGTGAAGCCTAAAGTGTTCGCTGAAATTTAATAACCGGATGTGGTTCGCTAGATTGATGCGACTTTTTCGCAATTCGCGGGCGAAGCATTTTTCGTTGTAGGAACTGCAGGTCCAGTAATGATCCGCGGTCCTGAGGCCGAGACGATAGTCGTCGGCGACAGCAAAACGACGCAAAGTGTCGCACACATTGGGCGTATCAGATCTGCGACACTCGGTCTTTGCTGTCGTCCGACCGCCTGCTGACTCTGACACCAGCAGCAGTCGTGCTGTCGTACCGATCGACTATTGCGCCGGCCTGAGCCCTGCAAGCGAAAAATGCTTCGCGCTGCGAAACGCGGAAAATTCGTTTGTGTCCTAGTGAACCACACCCATTATAACCAATGTGGGCATTGCGTGAAATGATTAGGCGTTCGTGCAGGTGTGCTAAAGGGTGTGGTTCGCTAGGACAGAAAGCGACTTCTTCGTTTTTCGCAGCACCAAAGTTTTTTCCGCTGCGGGAGCCCTAGGCTCACCGCCGAACGTGAGTGGGCCGGGGGTATCTGCAGCGAAAAGCCGAAAAACCGCTTTATGTCGTAGTTTATCGCGCCCTGCTAATTAGAGCTCTTCATGATAAATCTTGCAGGTTAAATGTACGCAAATCGGGTACCAAAAGTGGAAGTGATCACGTCACAAAACGCTCCTCAAGTCATCGTCGCACCGCTGCAACAACAGCAACAGCAGGTTGGTTAATTCTTGTTTGAGGCCTTGCTCTCGAACTTTGTCGTACTTCTAGCATCTAACCATAAGATTGCTCCAGAGCCAACGACGGCGTTTAGGCGGCGCTTTACCTGCGTATTGAATCCTTCTTTTGTACCCAGGGATAGGAACTGAACCGTTTTCAAAAGTAACTGTCTTATCTGAAAACCGCGATGGCCCAAAAAAGTGCAATGGTAGTCTTAAATTCTCTCGTCACAGCATTTTTTCTGCCGGACGCTTTTAAAGGGATGGCCCTCAATTTTCGAGATTCACAAACCGCTGGTATAATAGATAAACATTCTGTAATCGGATCACTGAAAATGGTGTTTCCTGGAATGATTGAATGGATTGGGTGTGTGAAGTTGATTATATAATGTTAAAATATTCTTTTCAGCCGGTTGCGCAGCTCCCTAATTTCAAAGATGATGAAAAAATGCCATTATTTTTGATCAAGCTATGGAGTATTGTCGAGGATCCGCAATACCAACAAATCGTTCGATGGGATGAGGTAACCGATGTTTCTCTTCTTCGAAAAACCTGTACTCAAACTTTCCAACTGGATAGTGTCCGCGATAGGTACAGTGATTGCGTTCCGTTTTACTATTGATCGAACTCGGCATGAAAAGCAACTTTGCAGCAGAACATGACGAAGCACGCTGGTGAAGTACTTTACAAGCGGAGGCAAAAGTAGAGGCTTCGCTGATGGTGCGCATCAACATGGCTATAGGATAAGGGGATAGGTAGAATTCTCTCGAAAAAAATGTTCATAAAACACCCATCTTTAGCAGCAAAAAAGCAAGCCTTCCTCCCTTGTCCTCATCCGTATCAAATATGAGGCATATTTTGATGACTACAACCTGCCCACCCGAGAAAGATATTTTATGGGTCATGGAGCTGGCCCTAATGTAGTGGCAACCTCGTTCCATTTAGGCCGATGTCAGACTTTGCGAATCGCGCGATTCGCTAGCGTCTGCGGTCGCGTCGCGGCCAGTGAATCACTCAATTGGCTGGTACCGCAACGCGACCGCGGACGCTAGCGAATCGCGCGAATCGCTAGTAGCGAATCGCGCGATTCGCAAAGTCTGACATCGGCCTAACTAGACGTGGTCTACGGAACGTGCTCTCTGCCTAAAATTTCAATAGCGCGGACTAATTAAAGAACGAACCGACAACTGAAGAAGACGGTTCCCTCAAATGTAAATCAGGAGAGCGTAGCACAGTACTGTCTAGGGATTGGTGCCAAAACAATGATTTGACGTTCTTATTCTTATCATGGGGAGGTGAGTCAATCGTGGAGTAAGCGCAATTTTGGGGTACCTATCCCCGCCGGTTGCTGCATAAATACCCTGTGGGTTCACGCCGGCTGTTGTCGAGTATCGGCCGAGTTATATGGTATGAGGAAAGCAAAAAAATGGCAGTGATCTCTGTGCGTAAAATCATCCATGTTTCCCTCTACGGTCATCTCATAAATTTGTTCGTTGGATTGCTATGAAAGTTTCATGTTCTTGGAGTTGCCCGTGGATTTCAAAGAGGTGATCAGTGAGTTTACCAAAGATATTTGATTAAAACATTTAATTCATGTGGGGAAAGAATTTTTGTTGCACACCCTTGTATAAACATATCTGTATTGATTTGAAAGGAAGTGTTCGGCAAAATGAATGTGGAGCATAACAGTAATCCATTACCCAAATAGTGAAGTGATATTGTAAATAAACGCAGAAAATACATTGTACTGAATTCCGCAAATTAAGGCAAGAACTCTCTAGAACGCCTATGCGCCTAACTGATTGGTTATTATTTTCAGTCAGGCTACAGTTTTCATATAATTGATCCATATTCGTTTTGCCGCAATGTTCTACCACACTTCTTCAAACACAACAATCTGAACAGTCTCATACGACAATTGAATATGTGTAAGTTTCTTCGGATTTTTGACTAATTTTCAAATGTTTTACTTGTTCTTGTGATTCATTATAAGTAGTTTAGTGTCTCAAAGGCATTTTTCTAGCACGTTTTGAAATAGCTAACACAATGTTCCTATTTCGAAACATAACCCGCGTGATCGTGCTCTTAGCAAACGAATCTGATCAGGAACTCATTCAGGATCATCTTCATTCGCGATCCACGAATCTCTTTCAATATAAAGAGGCAGGTGTGGTTCGCCGCGACCGTGTAATAGGAAGTTTTGGATTTCTTCATTTTTTTTCATTTTACAGTTCTTTATCTATACAATCAAGATCGTATCGACTCGTCCTCTTCCTTAGTCAAACTTTGTTTAAGGAGGCTGCTTCGTCACACTGGACTGGGAGTTTCTAAGCTGTCGCTGATACTGGTAATAGGAAATCCAAGTTATTGATTTTTATGAGGAGGCATTGTTCATGCATGAGTCGAAATATTCATTTATGTGTCAGCAGTGATGACACTCATTCATCGTCGTGCAGTCGTGTTAACGCTTACAGATGTCCTGCGTTTTCTCAGCACGCGACCTTAGATTGCCAAAACATGAATATTTAATTTCTGAGAGATGTGGGCGACTCGACTCATGGTAAATGTATGGCTTTCCTTGCTGCTCAATTAGGGAAAATATAATGATATCGAATAGAAGAGTATTTTGAATAAATCGCCACATTACCATAGCGGACTTCCCATATAGGTTTGTATACATACAATTCTGCAACTTAATGTTATCTTCTAGGCGAGTGTTTACAGCAAGAGAAAGGGTTTCGTTTCATGCATCAACCGTTGACCGTCTTCACCTGGTCCAGGTTGATGCAATTCATTCCATTTCCTACACCATTAATTTCTTAACACTGGAAAATCCTATACAGAGTTGTTCTCGTGCTAGCCAGACCTGGGGAAATCAGGTCTCCCAGCATTCAACTCTTTTGTTCCTCTTGTTCCGCAAATATTGCACATGTTCCAGCAATCGTCACGTACGACTGAAAACTCCACAAATGGTGGGCAAGCACAGGCTACAATACAGTTGGTCATGGAAGAAATGCGTCAGCTGCGAGAAAAGCAGCGTACTACAGATAACAAGATGCATGAACTTGTGAAGTATGGCAATCGTGTTTTTTCTGCTGTTTCTAATCTGAACTATTATTCTTTAGGGAAAACGAACAGTTATGGGAGCAGGTGACTTTATTACGTGCACAACACAATCGTCAGCAGCAGGTGGTGACAAAGGTGCAGTTAATTTATCCGTAACATTGTCAGTCTAGATAAAAAAAATTGCAGCAATATGGCAATGATTTTATCTTATGGTTTCTTCTCAAAATTGTGTATAAGTTGTTAGGAATGCTGGCCATAAATCCCACTAATTGGCTGGGTCCAAACAAAATTGTCATCGTTTTTACTGTTTTTGCCAATTATCCTAAAACGGAATTTCGCAAAATGAATTTAGCCATTCTGATTACTGTTCCTTTGAACAGCCCTTGCAGTCTTTTTTTGACTTGCAGGAAATTTCAGCAAGCGAACAACCCCATTCACAATACTTGTATTTTTTATTCTTTTCTCTTAAAAATCAAAAAGGTCAGCTTGAGGGTTACATGACGGAGAAAGTGCATAGAATACACGAATGCTCGATATTTGTCAGGCATAGCAAGTTGTCATTTTCTGTTGCTTGCAGTTTTTACATCAAAGGCCTGAAAATTTGGTAAATTATCGTCCCTGAAAAATTGTGGCAATCGGCTTGCAGACAGGCGAATGCCTCTCTTTCGTTTCGTAAATTTGGTCAAGAAAAAAGTGCTTTAGTCTAATTTTTCTAATTGTTGTCTTCTTGTTCATGGGTATTTTTTCGATTTCTAGTATTCGATATTCGACCCGCCCTTTTTTTAACTCGTGGCGTGTGAGCATCCTGACAATTTCGTGACTATTGTTGCTTAGGTTCCAGTGGTCAAGCTGCTTTGTTTTAGCTGGTGCAGTTCCTTGTTGCAATGATGCAGCCGAATTCAACGGTGGCGAAGCGTGTCATGAAGAGAGGAGTGTTGGCAATTGACGAGCCACCCCAAAAGCGTATGAGAATGAACCAAAACCTAAATTCGAACAACACGTCTAATCTGACCGACGTAAGTTTTTTGAAAGTAGATCTTGTTTTGTTTTGATTGTGATGATTTTCAAATAATGTTTGCAATTGTATATTTTCGCCGAATTCTTAACAAGAAATTTAATAACTGAAGTCGGTGCTGTAGTCACGCCTTTGTTACTTTTTTATTTTCGTTCATAATTTTGTCGCAGATTCTTGATCGGCTTCAAAGAGAAATGCTGGATATTGGTGGTATTCGTGGTGTTGCTGCTGCTGCCAGTCGCGCTGATGGCCCAATAATTGCTGATGTGACGGACGAATGGGTCCCAGGTTCTTCTTCTGGTAGCCCTCAGGGACAGGCACAAAGAAATAAGCAACCGTTTGGCAGCAACGCGTGAGTTGACTTGAACTCTTCTTCATAGACGAACTAACCACATTGTTTAAGATACAATATGTCTTCGAATATGCAAATGGCTCCATCAACATCTACCAACAATTCTTCCACATCTGTCGGTTTGAACACTCCCAGAAGGGCCCAAAATGGCGAAACTCCGGCCGCTATTTCTGGAGCGGCACAGGTTGGTGATTTCAGTGTAGCTTCCGCAGAAATAATTTCGCAGATCAAAAACAAAAGGCTAGACTTTGAAACTGTTGTGTTACGGAATTTAATTTTGAGATACTGCAAACGTGTTTCATGTTTCATTTTTTTCAATAGTTTCAAGATTTTCTTTTAATGATATCTGATACGGTCATTTTTGAGACAAACGCTTCAACGTTGTCGCCCTCGATTACTATGTCACCCTCACTTGAAAGGCAATTCTCGCAGGTTGGTTTTTGAGCACCTGGCACCATGTGAAAATTTTCTTGTGGTCTCCCTCTGATCGCGTTGCAGTGTCAGTTTCTCCGATCGGAGTAGTTCCCTCAGAAATGACTGACTCCACAAAACAACACAATCAAAAAATTGGAATCAACTTTTCTTACTTTTTACTTTGCTCATACCGCTAACACATCAAAGTTTCCCTAACCCTCCTACCATTATTACTACCTGCGTAGGGATACTAACCATAAGTAAAAATCTTACTGTCACTATTACGGCTTACTGCTCAAATACTTATATCTACAAAACGCTAAGTTTGAAGATGAACCTGGTCAACTGTATAAAGAATGCGTACTAAGATGTGTGAAAAGTTCCTAAGGATGTCGTGTACTTAAAAAAACATAGATGAGAAAAAGAAAGGAAAAGAAAAAGATAAAGAAAAACAGCTACAAAGATGTGATCCGTAATCGGGTCGCACTAACACAACACAATGTGATCTGATGTCGGATCTCTACAATATATCACTTTTGGCATAATTGAAAATGAGCTCATTTTCATATCTCCTGGTAGGAGAGGGATCATTTCTTGTGGGATTAGCAAACCAGTTTTTTTTTTCAAGAAGTTGTAACGTTTATCGTCTGTTGAGGGGCATTTGGAAGTCTACCAGTAGATAATAATATAAACTGAACACAGAATAATATCCGGAATACTTTTCCTTCCAAAGTTTCAGTAGTTACAAAAATGCATTCGAAAAATTCGATTTTTTGACTATAATCGCCACCTCCGATAGCCTGACACTGTTGTGAGAAATAGTTCGTGAAGAAAACTCACAGATCACCAGGTATGTTCAGTAACGTTGAACGCACGGAGGGGGATCACTTTATCAACAGTTACTTCATCTTTCTTTTTTATCATTCTTTTATTCGTGCCTTTTGCATTGTTTGATTTTTGGACGCTAACCACACTGCGTGTGTTACTCTGCATGGTTTCTTAACGGTTTCGTTTTACCGTGTTTCCGCATTCACTAATTGTTGATTCTTCTGATGTTTCTATACATAGTATCATAGTATATGTTTCTATACATAGAAAGGCATACACACGAGGGTTGGTGTGATGAAAATTAATAAGGCGGATGTCAGACTCGGCGATTGTGCAACTGCGACAGAACTGCTATTATACGACATTCATCTGAGTGATCGATGCCTGTAGAGGTGTGACTCAACTGCTATGAAGCGAACCGCTTTCTTGAGAGTTCTTTTGTTAGCACCCTCAAAGTTTAGCAGTCAAGTAAACACTTCTGGTCGCTTAGTCATTTGTCGGTTAAACACTACAGAGGTAGTGAGAAGGTGGACTGGAGGGGATCGACTTCTTCTGAGGACAAATGCGCGCTCTTTTGACCAAGTCTAGGAAAAAATCAATTATTACTTCTATTACAAATTGTATGGTTAGGTGGAACATTTGATGAAATTAATAAAATACTAGGCTTTTTGCAGGTGTCTCTTTCTTTAGGCTGGGGTAATTGCATAATTATGATAATTATGTAGGGCATAATTGCAGTCGTACCATTGGGCGCATTCATAGTCGGTCGTCCGATCGTAACGATCGCACAGCATTAGATGCGTATCGATCGTCAGACGTGTTCAAGGATTGGACGATCGATACGTATCTAACGCTGTGCGATCATTACGACCGGACGACCCACTATGAATGCGCCCTTACTTCTGGCATTATGACGTTTCAGGATGCGGGAAATAAAGAACTGTGTGCTATGGAATGGATATTAATGTTGCGCACGTACATTCAATATCTCTTACGAATGCATTGAGAAAGTAGCACAAGATTGCAGTGAACGTGCACGCGTCCCTCCACTGTCTCAGTTGCTTTGAAGTTATGGAGTATAAAAAGTTTTTCTTCAGGATTTCCAAGACTATTTGAATGGAATTGATCTGGATATTGACAAATGCAGGGATTTGCTGGGAAATCACTGGGATTTCAATCTGTTTGATGTAAGTTGTTCTATAGAATCTTAGGAATTTTCCAAACATACTGGGTAGTGAGCGTGTTGTGTGTTACAGAACGTGGACGTGGACGAAGATCAGGAACAGGTGCAGTCTGACAATCAACAGCATGAAGTAAACGCCGTGAATTCTTCATACGGCGGCTACGGAATGCAGAATGGCAATGCACAACAACCTGGCCTGTTGACGTATCCTGGTCCACAGCTGGCGTTGGAGGGAGGCCCACTGACCACCGATACATACAGAAGAAACCCTCAGGTCGAATTGGTGGAAGAAGATTCACACGCTGAGGTCAATCCTCAATTAGAGTTCCCATGTACGCCTTTGGTAGGAGCAGACGATCTATTGTTCCCTAGTACTCCTGAACTGCTTACACCATGCACGAGTCCACGTCCGTAAATCTCTTCCATATTTCTAGGTGTTTCAATTTGAGCGAAAAAATTCACTGTTCGAATCAGCTTTAAGTAAAGTCAATCAACATTTCGCAAAGAAAACTTAGTTCTTTCCTGCTCATTGGTGGGATATTGTAATACTTGTGATGCTATTATTTCGTTTAAAATGTCAAGTGTGACTAAAAATGATGTTAAGCCATGCCTTTGAACTCCCTGTGGGATTTCAAAATCTGAAGGAGGAGTTCGTAGTTTGTTGTTTTGTTTTTTTTTCTGTTACCGATCGCTAGTTGTTGTCTTATACGTGTACACTTTGAGTAGTTAATCTTAGTTCGCGCTTGCTGGTAAAGAATAGTATTTAATTTTTCAAATGAGACCTCTAAAGCTTCAATAGTGCCCCGTTGTCTAATAAATACTCATCATTTAAAGCGGTCATTCATAGTTCCATGGTTTTTTCATTGTCGTTTGGGCACGTCGAGAGGTCCCACGTAAGTGGTTCACCAGGGCCCATCAAGTTTGTTTAATGGCGTTACGTGTCGTATTGATACTTGGATTGATGGTGATGTAAATAGTTTTTACTGTTTTAGTTGTTCAATGTTTTTGTCTTTTGCAGTTCTCAGCGAAGTAGTAGGGACTACTCAGTGACCTTGATCGTATCTCGGCATTTTTGATCTTGCTTTTAGCATTATTGCTCTGGAAGCCCTCGTGAGATCTCTTCGATTATGGTCACAGTCCCTTTCGACTTTGTTTTGGGAACTTAAATTTTGCATGTTTTTATAAATGAACATTATAGCTGTTTCTAAATTGCAGTGCAGCTTTTCCCAGTTTGTAGCGTGAAATGTGAATATTAGGAACTTATTCAGGAGGTGAGATCATAGTTTTCGATTACCTTTACGTAACAATGGCAAATATGTACGTCCATCATTAAGCAGCGATCACCACAGTTGGTGGTTTCAGTGTTCAAGGTGCGTAAGGGATCCGCGTTTTCTCCACAATTTCTGCCCTTCCTAGGCTTACAGTTAGTCATTGAGGATGCCCATCTTACGATAACACCTCCTGAAACAACTATCTCCAATCTCGTCGTTTCCAAGTCGATGGTGTCGTGACGGGTTACTGCTGAGAAAGTGGATAGTGGAGACTGATGAGTTTCAATAATGACGTTTCAAAGGTATGAAGAGAACAAATTGAGTATCACAATCATAATTGAGAATGTTTGGGGAAGGCCGTCGTAAGCAGTTTCAAACAGATTTCGTTTTAAAAGTTCTGAAAATGAACCAGCAGTTTTGACCTGTTTTGTTTGTTAATTGCTATTTCAACGCCGCAATTCGCGTTGCCAATACACAAGAAGATTGGTTTGTAAACAAAATTTTCGCCCCAAGTGGCACTCGAACCCGTACCTCTCGCT